GGGGGGGGGGGGGAGAAACACATTGATTAGTATAGTTATTAGGAAATAATTATCATTCTGTGTCATAGATATCCTTCATTCTCTCTCCTGACGCCTTGATAGCAGAAAACCTCAAGGTGATCTGCACATTAGAGTTTTGTGGGGGTTTTTAAATTTACAAATATATTACCTGCAGTGGTTTTCTGGGGACTCCTGTTTTGTAACATTTAGCCCACAGGTGCCTACATTTGTCCACCTTCCTTCTATCTCTTTTCTAGCCCAATTAAATAAAATACATAGCTCAAGGGAAAGAGTGGAACCTCTGGATTATCACCCTACAGCCCAGGGCGTGTTCTTCGCCCATGACTCAGCCTGTGATTTACAGCTGCCCTAGTCCGCCAGTGCCGTCTGGCTGTGAGGCGAGGTGGGTAGAAGGTGATGCCTGCCCCACCTCGCAGGGATTAGAGAGCGGTGCGCTTCCTGGTGGAACTGTTATGTGTGCTCTCTCACAGGCTGACTCATGGGTGAAGTTTACAGGTGGGGCCTCCTGCCGCAGACAGCCTGCCTTACCTGAGTCAGGCGGGCCTGGGCACCGAGCAGGAAGGGCTGGTATAAGAGGAAGAGGCAGAAGTGTGTGTGCAGCCAGCAGGACGCCCAGGGACCAGGATGCCCCCAGCAGTGAGGTGGTCAGCCCAGGGTGCGCGATGGCTGTGGATCTTCTGGGCAGCCCTGGGGCAGTGTCTGGGATACAATTCACAGCAGCAAAGGGTAGCTTTTCTTCAGCCTCCTGGTCAGAGTAACCTGCAAGCAAGTCTTGTGGAGTTTAAACCCAGCCAGGTAATGTTCCTTTTACATTTTCGTTCGGGAGGGGGAAGGGTTTCCAGCTTTGTGACTTTTTAAGTTAGGGTGATAAATGAGTAATGGGTGGGCTGGGGGAGGAGCCCATGGCCTCCCCCTCCCACTGACTGGCAGTGTTTACTGCAGTGCCTAACAGACTGCTCTCCTGAGTTGTTAACCGCAAACCCTATAAACATCAGCCCCCTGGAAATGCCGAGACAGCTAAGAGTTCGAATATTTGTGGGATGTTAATATGCTATGAAACTTTGTGCCCTTTCGAGAGTAACCCAAGCCTCAAGAAAAAAAGTCCAATGCCTATAGGTTTTCAGATTCTGCTTGGAAGAAAAATTATCCATAAAGTAAAATTTTAGAATCAGTGAAATCTGTGTTTTAAAAAAGTGATGAGATCAAGTTTGTATAATACCTACCAGACAGACTTTACTTTGCCAGGCATTAAATACTTAATACATTCTGTTTCTCTTTCTTTAAACTTCCTGGATGTTGCATCTATATTCACAGAGAAACAGATCCTATAACTCCGGGTATAGCCTTGGAAATCTGATAGAGACATAATTTTATCATTTGTGCTATAAAAGTTTATTGGAAAAGTTATCCTGAAAAATTATCACTTAAAAAATGATTAGCTGAAAAGCCCCTTTGCTGAAATAATATATTAGCATACATTCACTGTCATTTAAAGTAGGTCTTTAATACATTCTTAATACTCAAACTGCACTTTATGTAAAATGTGAAGTTTGTGTGCTCTGTAGAGGTGAGAAAATGATTATACTTCAGTAACTGACAAATGTTTTATCTGAGAGTCACAGGACACACAACTCTTGCAGAGTACTTCTGATTCAAATCAAAAGCAAATTAGGATGGATGATTTAACTTTAATCAGGATAGACTGTCCTTTCCTCCCAAAGCATGTTTAATTAAGGCTTTTACTTACTTGAGTAGGTTGTCGCAAGCGAACCTGATATACTTAATTATTTGGGTAATTTGTTCTTTACCAAATATGATTATGATATATGTATGTAATGTGGTATATGGGGATAATTATAAGGTACTTGCCCCTTATTAGCAGAGATTATCTGTTTGCAGATATGATCATACTATCGTCAGCTGAATTTCGCTCAAACCTCTCAGTTGTGCGTTCAGCTAAAGAACATTCCTTTCATACTTTGATTCTCCTTTAGACAAGCCTATTCATATAACACATAAAGTAATCTCATTTTTTGCAATGTGTTCTTTTGCCTAAGCATGGTTTCTGATAGCTGAAGGAAAAAGGATATTGAAATTGTAGTCTTTTATTGTGTACAATATTGTGGAAGAAGCTCCTAGAAGCGACTGGAATAGTCCACTCTGGGGAGTACAGCCCTATCCCATTGGCTTCTTCCTCTCCCCCATTTGGCCAGGGTGAGACCTTTATGGCCATGGATGAATCAGGATGAACAGTTCATTTCAAGATTTCCCTGCGCTGTAGTTTCAGAGTCTTACAGACATACCTGCTGTTTAAAGAGGATTGGAGAAAATATCTTTTATCTTGAAATAGTAATTTTTCCTGATGCTTTAAAGACAGGGCATACAGCAGACCAGTGAAAGAAACCAGGGACAACATTTTATTTTTACCAGTACACTGATTTGCTCTGCCAAAGTGATGAAAATGCCTATAATTCTATTTAAAGACACAAATCTAAATAATTTTTAATTGCTGGTGTAAGAATAATTGATTTTTTTTATTGGGGGCTTTCTTATCTAGAATACTTTTAAAAAGTATATCAATTCATCAAAAAAAGTATAATTCTTTTCCTCCATATGAAAAATGATAACCTGTGTTACACTGAAAAGAGACAATATACTGGAGATAGAAATAGTCAAGACGCTATTGAACAGGAGATCACAGGGAGGAGGTTTCCCGGAGCTGGGTCTTCGTGTGCTCGGTCAGAACCAACTATCCCGCAAACTTCCGCATGAGAACACAGCACGCTCCTCTCCCCTGGCTCTCTGTTCTGCCCATCACTGGTGACTGGCAGTGACATGATTCCACAGTCCAGCCATGATTGTGTAGGTCCCAATGAAGACTCCTTGTCCCCACCCCCATACTGCCTCACCAGCCAGCCCAAATCCATACTTGGAGAGGGAATGGCTACCAAACAGAACTTGAACTTTAAGGGTTTTGCTTAGAGGTCCTCCCTATTTAGACGGAGGTCTGATCCCCTTTGCTGTTTCACTGCTTCCCCCATCCACTCACCCTTGAAAGGACTGGCATGAGGAGAGCAAGCCACGTCCACACCCACCCTCCAAACCTCCCCTTTCTCTGGATTCCCCACCACGTCTCCCACTCAGGCACAAACACACACACATATTCCCACCAGGGTGTGGAAACAAAACGGGAGGTGACCAAAAAAAAAAAAAAAAAAAAAAAAAGTGGGGCTGGCTAGTGTTTGAAAGTAGAAATTCACAGAGACTAAAGGAAAAAAGATTTGAAAGGGGAGTGCTTGATAGTCAGAATTGTCACATGCTTTGGATGATAATTTTCTTTCTTTGTTTTGACGGAACACTTTGTTTGAAAACAGAGATGTAGCCCCGGATACTATCGGGATAACAGAGACTTATATGGACGGTGTGTTCCCTGCAATTGCAACGGACATTCAAATCGATGCCAGGATGGCTCTGGAATATGTATTGTAAGTACATTGATGCTATAACACTACCAGCAGGCAATCTATGTCTCCCTTGTCCCCCCCTGCTGGGCCCTGAGACATCAAATGTCACCTCCAACCAAACCCTAAGTGGAGGCTCCAGCATTATCAAGCCAAGTAATTTTACACTTCACTTTTTCCTCCATTTTAACACGTCATCAGAGGAGAACACTTGTCTGAACCGTTAATTTACACCTTAGCGTCTAAATCTCTGCTTCATTAAATGATATTAATGGGTGGATCCTGGACTTAACTCTTGCCAGGATCTAATAAATCTCAGTCATTACTGTGGGCTCCAATTTTGTTGGGTGGCAGGAGGTTGTGGGAGGGGAGTGTTGTGACTGTTGGATGAGCAGTAGCTCAAGAAAACCACCAGAGGAGAAGGAGATGCTAAGAAAGGCTTGCTGTGTACACTCAGTCAGGCACAGCCTTCCACAGCTGACAAGGCGAAGTGGGTTTATGTGGGAAGGCAGGCCAGGGGCCGTCCCTGCCATCTATGGCTTATCCACTGGAAAACACTCTTCTTCTGGAATATTTTAGAAAATTCTCCCATAGAAAATTCGATTCTCAGGAAGCTTTTCCTTTGTATCCTGAAGCAGAACATTTTTTTATTCTGCTGACTTCCTTTTCATCAGAGTTCCTCTCCCTGGGAACCAAGGCCTCCCCAGTTAGAAAGAGAATGGACAGTTCCAAGGAGAAGAGAGAGCGCGGGTACCTGCAGGAACACAGAGCCCCCCACTTAGGTTGTGCTGGGTGGAAATGTGTTCTTCTGGCATGGCTTTCCTTCGCAGTGTGTAATGCGATGAGAGTGTTTCACTTATTTGAGTTCCTAGACTGCCTTAAGCCAAGTCAACATGTCCCAGGGAGCTGCTTCCTCTGCAGGATGGGACAGGCCAGGACAGGAAATTGTTGTAAAGAACCAGAGAGAATATTTTGTAGGATTTTAACCTTATAAGTTCAAAACAAATAAAAGACATTGAAAACTACCATTTTTCAGCTCGTACATATTCTTATATAGTAGTTTATATTTGATAATGTGTGTTGTGTATAACACAGGTAGATGCGTTAATGAAGTATAAATATTTATCCTGTCTGTGAACCATTGCTAGATGTTCAGTCTACTTAGAAAAGCTGCCGAAGAAGAAAGGGAGTTTTCTCTATAGTCCGTTTACCTAGTGAAAGGATCACTAGTGAGAGTTATAATTCACATGTTTTAACCAAACAGGTTTTCTTTTTTTAAAAATTTATCTTTATTGTTGAAAGTATTACAGATGTTTCCCTTTTCCTCCCATTGACCCCCTCCAGCCCACTCCCGCTCCCTCCCCAGGCATTCCCCACATTATTGTCTGTGTCCATGGGTTATGCGTATATACATATAAGTTCTTAGCTTAAGAGGTTAACCAAACAAGATTTTCTTTCCCATTTCCTTTATGACTCTGTCTTCACTTGTCCCTAATGCCCATGCAGCTTCTAGAAACTATTCATTCAGGAAACCCTTACTGAGCATTTGCTCTTGTGGGAGGGACTGAGCTAAGTGCTGAGGTTGAAACCATCAGACATAATCCCCACTCTCACTGGCGTGCTGTCTAGTGGAGGATGTGTGTGTGCACACATGCACGGACACACATCCATTCACACACACGTACACACACACAGGCACGGAGCCCGTGTCTGCACTCACTTAACTGCCTGGTGGCAGAAAGCGAGAGCTGACACTACTCTCAAACGTCAGAGGCAGCAGCCCTCATTCTCAAAGGGCAGTAATGGGGAAGCCAAGTTCCTTCCACTATCAAATGGGCTGGCTGCTCTGCTCATTGGCTTCTACCTCTCAAGGGCCAAAATCAGTTTCTAAAATCTGGGACCGTCACACATGTGCAAGTCTCCATGTCTTTTCAAGAATAACCTTTCACCCAGCCAGGTGTGGCTCAGCGGTTGAGCATCGACCTAGGATCCAGGAGATCGGGGTTCAATTCCTGGTCAGGGCACATGCCCAGGTTGCGGGCTGGGCAGCTGATCAGTGACTGTCTCATCACTGATGTTTCTTTCTCTCTCCTCCCCCTCCTTTCCTCTCTCTGAAATCAATAAAGATATGAAAAAAAAAAAAGAATAACCTTTGAAGTTTGAAAAGAAAGTAACCCAATTCCTTGCCAATAAAGCGGGATGTGTCCAGTTGAGAGGCAGGAGTAGGAGGTGCTGTGGCCTTTTGGTGCCACTGGCCGAAGGGACCTGTGATGATGGTGGCCCCCTCTCTACTGACGCCCTGCTTCCCCCTCTCCTCCCTGCCCACTTTCTCTCCTCTCTCCCCATGTCCGCCTGTTTCCCATCCCCCTTGCCTTCCCGTTTCAGTCACCCACATCTTCCTCTCTGTCCCCATGTTCCTTCCCCTTTCTCTTATCTTCTTCCTTCCATTTTTCTTCTTATTTCCTGCCACTGAGCCCCTTCCCTCCTTCCCACAGAATGATTCATGTGAAAGCCGCAGGTCATGGTGCCTGTCCAGCTGCACCCTTCCGCCCTTGCCCTTCACCCTCCAGGCTACCAATCGCTTCACGTGGCCTGCCCGTGCTGCTGGGCTCCTGCAAGACTGGGGATCTGTGCACACTGTTCCTGGCACCTGGAATGCCCTTCGCTCACTTTTCCACCCAGCTAGTTCCTCTCCTTCTATTTTCCACGCAGGAGGCATCATCGCCTCCAAAAGCCCTTCCTAAGGCTCCTCTTGCTTTAGGGAATGGGGCACACCTTTGTCGTCATACTTTTCGCATTGCATTGTATATGTCTGTCCACAGGGTTCTGTCTGTCCGAGTCAGGTGCCAATCTGCTTTTGCATCCCTGTGTCTAGCATAGTTGAGCATAAATAAGTGCCCAGGAGATGTTTGGTGGTGTGAAATGGAGCTAGGACGGCACGTGTTGAGGGAGTGGATGTGGATTCATTCATTCACTCACGCATTCATTTATTCACAATGAAGCACAGGATATTTGATAGGCAGATGCCTCAGATTTACAGGATTGATAAAGACAAATTCTAGGGTAGATGCTCTCAACTGAGGGTGAGGGGCTGTTTGAGACATGCTTACAGGACTGACAGGTGCTGATCCCCTTCTGTGACCCTCTCCCTTTCCCCCTCTGTGGAGGACCAGTATTCAGGGTGTTTTTGGTAGACTACAGATGACCTTACTGCAATTCTTGTTTCTCTATGTTCTTGCTTCTCTAGTGTTTTCAGCTCAAAACTAAGTAGTCACAGGACTAAAATATATCTGTTCAGGCATGTCTTCTTTAAAATTGGCATTTGGAAAGGAAACTAATGAATTCAAAAGATGGATATTTTCTGAGAGAGTCAGGGCCACCAGGCAAAGCAGAGGTGGAGGAAGCCTTCAGCACCTCACGCGACACCCCTGAGAGACCCCTCTGTGGATCCGACACAGCCCAGTGTAGATTTGTTCCCAGTGTTCGTGCCTACGGGAAAACCCCTCACAGCAGTGACATTTTGGGAAGGAGGGAAGGATTCAGGACAGGGGTGAACTTTCTGGTGATCAAATGTTTACATGTAAGCAGCTTCGTACTTGAAAGACCCACCTAGTTTTCTGATATGCTTACTAATCCCTTGTGTTTGTAGCACAATTTTCTAGCTGGACAAAGTAGAAAAAGAGATTTTAACATCTTAGTGGATTGTGTAATTCTCAGTTATTCAAAGGTTTGTGAAGGATAGATCTGCTTAAGCTGAACAAACCGAGGACCTGTGTGACTGAAGGACGGTCCTGGCTGTTCAGAGCAGTGCCTCTCCCACTTAAGATAGTCTGCATATTGTTTTTCCCAACCTGATTTCAGATATTACTTTAAAACTCACATCCACTAAAGTTTCCTACTCAAGTACTGCCCCTGCGTACAGAGGTATCATATATAAGAAAATTATTTTTTTAATTTTTTATCTTTATTGTTGAAAGTATTACAGATGTCCCCTTTTTCCCCCAGTGATCCTCTCTACTCCACCCTCTCCCCCCACTCCAGACCTTCACTGCACTATTGTCTGCGTCCGTGGGTTATGCATACACACATATAAATTCTTTGGTTAATCTCTTCCCACCCACCGGTGCCTTCCCTCTAAGAATAAGTACAATTTTTTAGACTGTACTTATTCCAGGCTTTATCATTAACACAATGTATCTCTGAATTATCAAATGCCCACAGTAAGAAGTGTTTGCCAGGCTATTTTTGTGCATTAAGATCTTTATTACTAGAATAAAGCCAAGAAAGGTTATACTGGGCAAAAAGTCCACAAACTAAGTAAATTTGACACAATCCACTCAGCTTTGTCTCAGTAGACTGCATGTAGACTGCATAGTTGCAAAGTTGTGTCATTCCAGCGCTTTACTGAAGAACAGCTTTCACTAGGCATTGACTTTCACATGCACATAATTAGATTCCCATAAACTCAAGTGTAGATAAAATTAATGCTTTGTTTCTTTGAGACATTGGAATTAAATTAAGTGTTTTCTTAAGATAATGATGCAATTTTTGTTGTTTTAACAAATGTCATATGTTAAAAACTTATTTCAATTTTATTGCTCTTCAGTATATCATTGTAAATTATGAGTTAATCAAGTTAATTTTCATAGAAGCCATTCTAAGGGACAGAAGGAAAAGGGCAGGGGTTACATTTGCTGAGGCCCTGTTATACTTTCCCATCACTACCGTACTTTTAAAAATCCTCCCAGCAACCTTGGAAAGTGGATATTATTCCAACTGTACATTTTAAGAACATTAGAATTGTATGTAAATCATCCACCAATAAAGTTGATTTATAAAAAAATGCTGAGCATCAGAAAGGTGAAGGAACTTGCTCAAGATCTACAGCTACGAAATGACGGAATGGGATTTGAACCCAGCTGGTCTCTCTCCACTTCATACCTCCCAGCGTTAAACACCAGATAGCTGATGGAAGGACACTTACCTTTTTTCTAGCACCAACAGTGATTGGATGGACAGGAAAAATATATGGTTAGAGAAACTGCTATCACCATACAGAGACAGAGGACCTGAGTAATAATTGTATGAGTAATTAAGATGACACTGTTCTCAATAGTAATAAATGTAATCGGCTGCTATTAATTGTATTGTTTATCTGCCCCAAGAGCTGCCAGCATAACACTGCTGGGGAACACTGTGAGCGCTGCCAGGAGGGTTTCTATGGGAACGCCATCCAGGGATCCTGCAGCGCCTGCCCCTGTCCTCATTCAAACAGGTACTGTGGAAGCTTGAAAATAATCTATCGAGACAGGATGTAGGTTGGCGGTTGCCTAGGACTGGGGTGGGGGTGGAGGGAAAGTGGGAAATGCATGCTAAGGGGTATGTGACATGGCACTTCTTTGGGGGTGATGAAAATGTTCTAAAATGGACGGTGGTAATGGTTGTACAATTCTGTGACTATACTAAAAGCCATTGAATTGTACACTTTTAAATGGGTGAATTGTATGCTATGTGAATTCTCTCAATAAACAGTTATATAAAAAAAGAGCAAACAAAAAGTGCAAAACAAAGCAAACAAAAACAGTCTTTGCAAGCTGTACACTTCTGGGTTTTTCCTTTCTCTCTTTCCATGTGCCATTCGTTCAATGACTAAACAATCATTTACTGAGCACCCATTACAGGGCTAGGCCTTAACCCTATCTAGATGCTGGGGAAGCTGCAGTAAAAAAGACCAGCAAAGATTCTGATCTCATGAGTATGGATGGGGAGAATTGTCCCACTCAATAAATATGTGCATAAATAAATAAGAAGAACGCTTTCAGAAAGAGATGGGTTATGCAAAGGATTAAAGGGTTATTCGATTGGCAGTGAGCAGATTCTTTAAAGAGGGTGATAGGAGGGTTTTCTGGAGCCCTTGGGCAGGGACCAATGAATGATGAGGTGGAGGAAGCCATGACCAATATCTTAGCAATGCAGGTCTCAAGCAAGGAAAAAACAGAAGAGAAAGCCCCTGCGATAATGTGTTTGTGGACAGTGAAAAGGCAGGAGTGGCTGGAGTGTGGTGTGGGAGAGTGGGGCAGGGGACCAGGCTGGCGGGCAGGGTTCGGATCCTATAGGACCTTGCATGCTGGAGTAAGACTCTTGGATCTTACCTGCCGTGTGATGGGAGCCACAGGACAGTTCTGAACCACAGCGTAGTGTGACCTGCATCCTCATTCACTCCCAATATGGCCAATAGGTTACGCAAATAGAAAGCCACCTTTTTTTTTTCATAGTAACCCATGTTTTGTTTGGGCTTGGCACCTTGCCGCATTCTTGCTCCTTATGGTGTGTTCACTGTGGGTCCAGCAAAATAGAACATCTAAGAGAAGCAAGAAAATCCGGAGATGCTGATAAAGTATCAGTAGTACACATGCCCTGGAACAAGTATGGGCCACAAGGCAGACTGAGATGAGCCTAGCAGCAGAGAAATTGGCTAAGTCTTAATTTTACCAGAAGCCTCTTGCCCAAATGTGGCTTCTCTGGAGATGCATATTTGAAAAGTTCACCCTGCTTTGCTATCTATGGACTCCTTAAACCTGCCCAGTCCTGCAGCTTTATTTGTAAAGAGATCTATCACCTTACACCAGCCCAGACTTGTTTGAACAGAAGCTGGAGAGAGTAGAAAGCAGTGAGGCTTCCACTGGGTGCTTGAGAAAAGCTTTTCATCTTTGGTGGCAAAGTGTATTGTTATCCTCAAGGTCAGCTTCCAGATTCCATGCAGTTGAAGTAACCACTTCCTCAGACAAATCAATGAAACCCTATTTTTATGTAATTCTCCTTCCAGCAGTATTAGTACTGCTGACAAATTTCTAATGGCCCCTTTATAGCTATAACTCTATATTCTCCCAATAGGTCAAGAGAAGCTTCCCAAAATAAGATTTTTTTTTTTACAAGCAATTGATAAATGGAGTTATTTCCCCTCAGATTTACACAGTGAAATGTTCAAAGCACAGACAGACATTTCATAAGGTAACAGGGCTTTTTCATGATCTCTTCATTTAATCAAAAAAAAAAAAAGCTCAGATATACACCCATTTAGAACTAAAAGAAGGGGAATCAAGATTCCACACCACAGTTTGACTTGAAAAATGTAACAATCATTAGCTAAAACACACAGGTGGCAGCCATGCCCTGGGCCTCGGTCCCTCTGGGGCTCTGAGGGCCTGGCCTCTCCACCACCTTCCCTTCCCAAAAGGCAACATGCCCAATGTAAAAGAAATACAATAAACAAGGGGAAAATGTTCTTAAAGAATCAGAGCTCTCTGCTCTTTTGTTTTGCCTAGACTTGTTTTATTCTTTCCTTGTTATTTCTGGGAGAATGCTGTTGTAATCATCTCTTCCAGAGTGAGTGACTCTGCTCTGTCCTATGGGAAAGAATGTATTTCTTCAGGCCAAAAATGAAACAAAATAAATGCCTTCTGTCCTTGTTCACCAAAATGTGCCCAGTGTCAGCTGAAATAATTCATCGTTATCTCTACAAGTCTCAATGGGCAAAATTTTCTTCACAAAAAAGTAGCCAGACCCTTGGTTTCCGTTTTCACTTACTGCAAGTCAGTTCTTTGTGGCAAAAAATAATGAGCGTAAAAGCCTATATCGATTCATGTTTTCACTGGAGCTTTGTTCTGTCTTCCTTCAAGCTTTGCCACCGGCTGTGTTGTGACTGGGATTAGCGTGCAGTGCTCCTGCAAACCTGGATACGCAGGAACACAGTGTGAAAGGTGGGTGCTCCCTCCCCTCCCCTCCCCACCCCACCCCATCCTGCAGGTGGGGTGGGGGTGGGCTCTGCAGGCTGCTGCAGGCGCTCAGGCTGCCGGTGGAGCTCTGCCCAGTCGTGGCTCAGAACTAGGGGTGGGGCTGTTGGTTTCCACGGGATGGAAAAAGGTCTCTTGGGAAAAATACAAGACTGCTCACTTAATAAATCATTAACTTTCGTTTCTTTCCTATTTTGTACGTGTTTCAGAAACTTGAGAATAAAGTCCAATATGTCATAGCCCTATGTACTCCCCAACATACACCCCTATATGCTCCTACCCCCATGGGCACCCCTACATACTCCTTCCCCTTCATGTGCCTATATACCTCTTTCCCTCCACATGCCCTGCACCTTCCTCCCCCATACATATCCCTGCAAACCCCTGCCTCCATATAAATGCATCCCTACCTACTCCTGCCCTACGTATACCCAGCCCTACCCCACGCACATTTCTACTTGCCTGTACACACACACAAGCTCTATGTACTCCTACATGCACATACATATCCATATCCACAGCCATAGATGCTCCTACACACACACACACACTCCTCTATATCCGCACACAATATTTCATGATTAGCTACTATACCCAGGATGCTGCCAAGTATTGTGAAAACTATAGAAGGTATTTACAAGCTAGCTGGGAAGATAGCACACATATATTTGGAAAAGTAACAGTATAACAAATGAATCATATGGACGACATGTTTTTAAATTTAAAATGACTTTATCATAAAATCAATACATATTTATTATAAAAATGATGTAATGCGGGTGAGCAAAAAACCAGTGAGGCCCACCGCACCCCTACATAGCCCACTACATGCCTGCGCACTTGCAGTCCAATTCATAATCATTTTACCTATGGAAAACCACTGTTAAAAGCTTGTTGTATATTCTTACAGATCATTTCTATATGCAGACTTTTTCTTAAAAACAAAAGTAGATTCCTATTTTACTTTCTGTTTTGACTTGTTTTCTCACCTAATAGTACGTTAGTAATATCTTTCCATATCAGTAAGTATTCATTGATTCAAAGCAGAATCTAAAGTAGATATTTTTAGCTAAATTTTTGTATGCATAAATTCTCAAGATATAATTATAGACTTGGATCCCTGGGGTCAAAGGCTAATAAATTTTTCAGGCTTTTGATACATTTTGCAAAATTGCCCTCCAGAAAAATTGCATCTGTTTACATTTCTATGGGCAGCAAAAGTAACTCCTGTCCCCAGTGGATACTAAAAATGTTCAATTTTTCAAATGTTTACCAATTTAATAGGGAAATAATGAATGTCTTTTTAATTTACATTTCTTTTTTAAAATAATCAGATTGGGCTTTTTCATATACGTAGTGACCATTTATAAATCTTATTTTTTGAATTGCTATCCAGGTCTTTTACCCATTTTTTTCTAGTGGAATTTTCAAAAATTTTTATTGGTTTGTACATTTTTAGAGGAAATTAATCCTTAATACTCAACGTTGCAGATGTTCTTCTCTGTTTATTTTCTGTTTGTATGTTTTTTATCTTGTTTTTGTCAATTCCAAATATGCAGCAGTTAAGTTATACTATGTTCATATCTATTCTTTTATCCTTTAGAATTTCAGCCATTAGTGTCATGCATAGAGAGGTGATATAAATGTTTTGCATATTTTCTTTTGGTCCTTTAATGGTTTGATTTCTTGCATTTAAATCTTCATGTTGGTGAAAATTTAGAACCTACCTTTTGGTGGTATTGCATCTTATGTGGTAAATAGATTTAGGGTCAACATATTAGGCAAAAATGGACCAGAGTTCAAATAACTTTGACCATCCCAATATCCCATCTCTCAATAATCTAGGGACCATGTTGCATGAAATACATGTAGTGCTTGGATACACCCCAGAACCACAACTCAGTAGGGTGAGTTTTTCACTCTAGGAGAAGGAAACTAGACCAACTGGGGAAGGAGCAGATTCCCAGCCCTCCTGCCATGCTCACTGCAGGCTGTGGCTCATTGAGTGAATGGGCACAGACACCCCAGCTGTTTTTTCTCTTACTCTCACCTCTCATGCTCGTTCCATTTTTGCCAAGTACCTTTAGTTGAATTCACTAAAGCTAAATGTCTGTATACAAAATTCCCATATAGACTTGGGTTTGTTTCTGTGCGTTTTATTTGGCCCTTGTGCCATTACCACGTCTGTATCATTTCCGAAAGTATAAAATGCATTTGAATGAATATTTGATTGAGCAAGACTCTCCCTGTAACCCTTATTTAGAATATTTTCTTTGATTATTCTGGCATGTTGTTTTTCTGGATAAACTTTAGAAAAGTTTTACCAAATTTCAAAAAAACAGAAAGTTAATTCAACTGAATTTTATAATAAGGCGGCGCCTCTCTAGACAGGGGTTATCTGAAACATCTTATGGAAAAGGTGGGCCTTAATTAAATGGGTTGAAGGGATGACTGGAACCCAGTGGAGCTGCAAGGTAGGAGTAGAAAGTGGCTCAGATCAGGAAAGTAATGCAAGAAACGACCTAGAAAATACCTGCCATGGGTGGAAGGGGGTGTTGTTGGGGGGAGTGCCTTATTGGAACTGTCTGCTAAATGTCTGAAACTGTCCTATAGTAACAAGCAGCAATTCAGGTTTCTTCTATTTTCCACTTCAGCAAGGGAAACATATCCCACACTTGCCTCACACCTATTACCCATTCTTTTCTTCATTGAAAAGTGTATGGAGATCTCAGTATATATCTGGTGCTGTGCTAATCGCTGGAGACACATTAGCAACCAAAACACAGACTCTGCCCTCAGGGTTTTTACAGTCTAGTGGTGGACTGACATACACACAAGCTGTTTAAATAGTGAGAGAGAACATAACTGGGCGAAGTCGGGCTGCAATAGGAGAGAATCCGACCATCCTCGAAGGGTGAGGGCTGGAAAGGGCAGCTATACTGAGACAGCAAGGTTGAGTGTGGTGAATGAGGGTCCCTTTTCTCCACACCCTCTCCCACACTTATTATTATGTGTCTTGTTGGGAACAGCCATTCTAACAGGTGTGAGGTGGTGTTTCATTGTAGTTTTGATTTGCATTTCCCTAATAGCTAGTGAAGGTGAGCACCTTTCCATATATCTGTTGGCCATTTGTATGTCTTCTTGGAGAAGTGTCTGTTCAGGTCCTCTGCCCGTTCTTTAATTGGATTGTTTGTTTTTTTGGTGTTGAGTTGTATGAATTCTTTACATATTTTGGATATTAACCCCTTATCAGAATTATTCTTAGCAAATATCTTCTCCCATTCAGTTGTTTGCCATGTTGTTTTATTGGTGGTTCTTTTGATTGTGACAGAAGACCTGACTTTGGGTGGTGGGCACACAATGCAATATACAGATGATGTATCATAGAATTGTACACCTAAAACCTATATAATTTTATTAACCAATATCACCACAATACCTTATTTTTAAAGGGTGGGTAGGGTGGAGAATGGGGCTTAGGAAGATCTTCCAGGCTCTGTGATTTAAAAGTTATGAAACCCCCACCTGGGAGAGACATCCTAATTCAGCCCTCCTTATGGTTCTTCACAAACAATGAAGCAAAACAACAATGGGCTGGATGAGACATTCATCTGCCAGGCAGCTGATTTGAAAAGAGAAATTCGTAATTAACAGTTCTTATTTCAGCTTAATTTGTTACATTTGCTGTCTCAAGATAGCAAGCTATTGTTTCTTTAAAATTTTTAAAGACATTTTCACAGGTAAATGCCATTTTAATGTCAAAATTTTTCATTTGTTAAATGTTTATTGAGCACCCTCTCTATGCCAGGCGTCAGTCCTGGCAGAGTCGTTAACTGTGCATTGATAAATACAAGGACAGTTAGAGTAAAAGTAGGAATATATGCAGGAGCTAGTTGGGCAGGGAGGGAGCAGCCAGTCGGGGGGAGAGGGGAGGAAAGGCTTCCCAGCACATAGCCTGCTCTGGGGATTGTTCCCTCAGCCACCCCTGATTTCCATATTGATCAAACCACTGGCTCCTGTGTGCAATTTATTCATCTGCCATTCGGCTCTAGGGATAACTGAGGATTCTGTCCTGGGTGTCAAGGAGGAAGGGAGCAATCTCTGCCTGCATCCCACTCACATTCTCATTCAAGCCATAAATATCTCTGTGCTGAGACACGTTCATTCTTGAAAATCTAAATCAACCTTCCTCTGATAGGGTTACAATATCCTAAACAGGGAGCCAGAGGTTGAGAAAATTGGGTGGAATAAATGATGTGTTCATTGAGTGTTTCTCTTCTTTTCTGTATTTTGTGTAGGTGTGCTCCAGGATATTTCGGAAATCCCCAGAAGTTTGGAGGTAGCTGCCAACCATGCAATTGTAATAGCAATGGCCATTTGGGCAGCTGTGACTCCCTGACCGGAGGTAAGATCAACTCATACCTCTGTTAACCTGCATTTATCAGACTAGTATAAAGTAACAGGTGAAGAACTCAAGCAAACATTTATAGGAAGCACAATGCCCAATTCCAGCTAGCAAATTGTCCCTTTATTTTGATAACCTGTGGAATGCTGAGGCAGTATTTTCAACTTTGGTGAATAACTTACTTCAAGTAGGTTGTTGGGGTTTTTTAAAGTAAATTGTTTTTAAAACTCAACTAATTATAACCAAAATAACCTCAGACCCTATTTTGATAAGGTTATTTGTCACATCAGCGTTCTTTATGTATTTAAAGAAGTCAAAGTATTCTCTCTCTAATAGCAATAAATGTTCTGGGATGTAGGTGGTACAATTGAGATGGATATTACATATCAAGGAAAAGGTAACTACTGGGAATTAGTGGGTTCATTAGGAAGGACTTGAAAGAAAAGGGAAGACTATGCTCTCCCCTCTTTGACAGAGAATATTAATGTGATTTCCTAGGAAAATGCCATTGACATAGTGTAATGCCAACCCCTTAGATAAAGTCTGTCACTTTATAGTTATAAACAAAACCCTGAATGTGTAGATTAGATTTGGTAAAGTGACTGTTTCCAAAGGAAGGAAGAGTGAATGAATTATTATTAGTCCAGAATGAAGTGTCTATTTTCATGCCTCAGGGCCTCATCCTTGGCTCCATCTTCAATATCAACTCAACACTGTCGATTTGAATGGAAATACAGTTATCAGATGACACAAAGTTCAGAGAGAGCAAAATGCCTCCTGCAGCACAGTTAGAATACAAAAGGGTCTCAACAGCCTGGAATAACAGGCCAATTCTAACCAGACAAAATTATGTTAGGGATAAGCATATGGCCCTATAGTTGAATGGGAAAAAAAATCAACCTTTAAGTCTGTGGTAAGTGAGATGTAACTTAGTAGTAGGAGGTGTGAAAAGACTAAGACTTTCATTAGCAGTAAGTTCAGTGCTCAGGAGAGTAATGTGGCTCCTGAAAGACACCTCACACTATCTTCGCCGAGTTCTAGTGTCTAAAACCAGGTGGTCTCCCATTCCCTGGTTCTCTGCTCCTATAAGTCCTCAGGTGGGGTTTGTGTCTTTAGAAGGCAATAGACAAGCTCCAGCTTGTTCGGAAAGATGGTAAGACTGCGAAGGGACTTAGAGTCATGTCACATGAGGGGGGATTAACAAACCAGGACAGTGAAGAGAATACTTGGAAAGCACATATTTGAAAGGCTGGTGTGTGGGAGAAGGGTTCGTTGTGTACTGTGGAAGGAGGGATAGAACCTACACCAAAGAGTGGAAGCTAGAGGGAGTTCTATTTTAAATGATCTTAGGAAAGAAGCGTCAGATGTTTAAAGATGGAAAGGACTTTTAAAAGGAACTGAGTTTTGCTGTCATTGGAGGTATTCAAGGAGAAGCTTCCACCTTATGCCCAGTTTACTTGTGAGGTTAATATCTTTCCCCTCTATTCTAATAACAAAAATAGGCAATGTGAAATGAAGGTGGTAAATATTGTTCCCCAAATGGAAGAAAATGCTCACACGTGAGACTTGTTTGTTCCTGTGAGCTTTTTTCCCTCTCTTCTCATCCTTCCTTTTTCTTTCAATTAATAATGTACAGATTGTGTGATGGCCAAACTCAAACTTGTTGAGAAAGTTGCACTGATATATCAATGATGCACTTAAGTCAAGTCCCCCACAAACTGTTCCAGGTGCTATGGGAGATTGCAAAGGAAACAAAACATCTTTCCTGGCTGTGAGGCATTTATGGTCTAATTGAGGAAATAAAAGTGACATGACTACAAGAATGAGCAAATGATTTAAAAAAAAATGAGTAAGAGACACTTAGGATTATATATAATAAATGAAAATGCGTACAAATATGTATAAAGGAGACATTGATTGTCTTTGAGTGGAAGGATCGAGGGTGTTTTTATATTCTTCTTCTGATTTTCCCAAATTTTCCCTAGTGAATTTACTTAACAGTAAATGTGGTTTAAAATATATGCATATACACACGAAGTGTGGAATGTTGCCTGCTGCCGAGACCAAACATGAAAACATGTCTAGGAACTTTTCAAACTTCGCGTCTTCCTGTGGTGATGTTCGATGATTTTACAGAGGGAAGTGAGAGGGTGTTTCAGTGTAAGAATACATGGTATGGGGGGGAAAATGTGGAAGGGGGTAAACAGTGTGCAAGGATGACCAGTACGCTTTCCTGGCTGTGCCTGAGACTCTCAAAATTTGGCTTATATTTATGGCAGTTGGCAGTGTGGGTCCACTAAAATTGTGTGCATATCTCTCTCACAGCATGTGTCACACTGTTGCGTAATTTGTCTGCCTCCCCTATGGGACCATTAAGCCACAGAACAGCAGGGATTTTTGTCTCGGTATCTTTGTATCTCCTGCACCTACCACAGGCCCATAGTGCACAGTGGATGCTCAAAGGTGCCCAATGAATGTTTATTGAATGTTCCTGAATGGTATTGGAAGAGGCTGTCAAATGAAGAAAGCCTCAACACTAATGACTAGGAGTTTTAATTTTATAAGAATGACATGACCCTTTATAGAGAAGAAGGTGAATATAGAATGAGGCCACAAGAGAAGTTCCTACAGCAAGACTGCTGGGAGATGAGAAAGCTCCCTGAGCAGTGGCACAGGTCGGGGAAGGAAAGGGAAGAGCCGGTGATCATGGACAGTTTGGTGACTAAAATCTTGCAAAAACTAGCTTTTCTGAAAGCCAAATCAGAAAACAGATTATGAATAAGCTTAATAACACTACCTTCTTTGGTTATGCCTTGGGTCAGAATGCACAAACCAAGAACCCAAAGATGGCAGCCCAGGAGAAGAATGTGATGGTGAGTAAAGAAAGCACCTTTCCTTTCCCAATTGTGCAGTTTTGCTTAAGATATGTGAGCCCCAATCTGGAACATGCAGTTTCCAGTCTGGGAAAGCTATGTGGGAGGAGGGAGGAGGGAGG